GGGGGGGGGGGGGTACTCAGGGCACCCCCAGACATCGCCCACTTTCCGGTGCAAAAGCAGTTCTGGGACACCCTGTATACCACTAGGATCTTGATAAAATTCTGAAGAAAACAACACTTGTACAATTGAAAATTTTCAATAGCCAAAAGCATTAGCTTATTGACAAAAACCAATGGAGCTTTGGGTTTGCAGAGCATTTTTCCCAATGAATATTAACAAGTTCCCTCACTCGCAAAGTACATCAGTCGAATTTTAATTCATTATTTCTTCCAGAATAAGGCGGTGCATTATTCTGCCGGATTCGATGCACCGACAGTTTTCAAGTTCTGGACAATCATGTCCACCCCAATCGACAACTGATGCCTTTCAATAATTGACCATCCTCATTTTTACAAAGAGGATTCAACCGCTGTTTATAAACACCTAATACGGTAAATCAGAGTTTTCACGCATTAAATCTCTGGTCCTAATGTTTTGAATCCCATAAGTTATACAGCAAAACAAAACGATCACAACACACGTGTTTCTTTGAAGATTGTAACCTCTTGGGCTAATTTCTACAAGTGAAAACAATGCAATCCGTCCACCACTGGCACCTGTTACTAATTTCACAACCATTATCCACTTCAAATGGATTTATTTGATTAACAAAAACTCACGGATTAACCTAACACATGGTTTAATGGATTAAAAAAGGGAAAAAACTCGAATTCAATTGTTTTATTTTGAGTTAAAGCATTCATTTTCAGATTAAGAGTTCAGAGTTTTATAACGTTGCGGCCTGGGAGAAAAGTTAAATTTACCGTCTCGAAAGGGCAACTCTTGTCAATACCGCTTGATAAATTTATAAAAGTATGCGGGTAGTAGTAGACTGTAAGTGCAATTTGTAACACAATCTATGTGTGCAGACACGAAAATTTTGTAATAAATGGCTCGAGAACAATGAGTGCATACCGCACAATTGGTAAATGAGATGGGCTCGCTCCCGTTGGCCGAGCCCAGCGTGCGCGGAAGACCGAAAGGTCTTCCGTGGCCGTCACGCTCCATGTTTCGAAGCGACGCTTACGTTGATTCGAGGTCATTATAGACCTCAACAGAAGAATCATCTTCTGAATTTGTGAAAGTTACAGCGTGCACGGGAGGAAAAAGTCAACCTGACGCCGCTAGGCTACGGGCGAGGCGGCGAGAGCGAGTTCCGAGCCGCAGGAATCCTTTGATAAAAGAGGGAGTGCTTGATTTGGTGCAGTATGGGGGAGGATTCTGGTGAGGGGAAAGAGGGGGAAAACGTTATGAAGTCACTGACGAGTGGCTATCGGAGGCATTACTATTATTGAGCCACCGTTAAACTGTAAACTAATTAAATAAAATTTTCAAGTATTTTAATTAAGTTCTGTTTCCTTTTTTCCTTCCGTGTTAGCTTCTTTTCGATTTCGTTTTTGTATGTAACACATTACTTTACCGCGCAAACGTAAACGATTTGGGCGATGTCATCGATAGACGTCATTTTCATAGACGGTATCATAGCAGTACAATAGTTACATTAACGCGCTTTTAAGGAACTAGCGATCTCCGTTCACTTAAAACTGTTTCAAGAAAGAGGTATAAATAAAGGCCCATAAAACTAAGTTTGCTTCTAATCTTGACATTAGCTTTATTATAATTACAGTAGGTAGTTATCGGATGTACAAAGCAAATAACGAGAGACCGAAGATAGATCCCTGCGGAATATCGACCATGACCGGTGCCAAGGATGACTTTTTTCCATCCAGGTCAAGGGTAGCCTGGGTCCGACCGCAAAGGTAGAACGCAAATCATCTGCGCACGGAGACGGAGAAACCGACGGAGTGCATAGCGCGCAGCAATTTGTCGTGTCATATGGGATCGAACGCTCTGGAGAAGTCGAAAATAACTGCGATGAAAATCATTCTTGCATCCGCGGTCGACCGAACATCATCGATGACTCGGATCAAGGCTTTTTGAGTGCTATGATCAAACCAGTAGGCCAACTGTAATGGGTCCCAGCCATCGCTTCTGGACAGGAAGTCAACCAGTTGTGTGTTAACGACGCACTCGAGAGGTTTAGAAAGAGCGCAAAGAAGCGAAATCGGACGGAGATCTGACAAGGAGGAAGGGCCAGCCGAAACCTTAGGAATGGATCGTATGAAGAATTTTTTTCTACTCCGAGGGGAAGGACGAGCTCATGAGAGACCGATTGTATAAAA